ATCGGGGTGGGGGTAAGCCATGAGGAGGGTTTAAAGGGATCAAAAATTGGCTTAATAGGGTTGTGATTTTTGGGTTGGTGTGGGTTAAAGGTTCTGTCAGAGGGGTGTTTGGTGGGGGGACATGTCCACAATCATGGTATAAAGCGAGGCAACGGCGTCTTTCTAGAGGAGGGCGACAAGGGAGCTTGGAGAAACTTGGGTGGAGAGTGGTTCGCCACAAAGTGTGACACGTGATCCACGGTAGGTGAAAGTCATTCGGAATAGCGAAGTTGGCCGTAACCGTGCCAAGGGTGCTTAGCCAAGCTAAACCAAGAACGAGTTTGGCTCCGGCAACCGGGAGGATGAAGGAGGGCATGGAGAAGGTTGTGTTTTTTACGGTGAATTGGACGTCGGGGTAAAAACCCTCACAATGGAGAGAGTCGCTGCTCCCAACCATGACAGCAAAGGGTGTGATCGAAGTGGTGGGGATGTGAAGGAGAGAGATGAGACATGGTTGAATAATGTTGTGGGTGCTACCCGAGTCAATCAAGATGGTGACTGGGTGGTTGTCAATGGTCCCTTTGACACAGAAGGCGCAGGGAGAGTTGAGGCCGAATACGTCTGCCGGAGAGAGAGAAAGGAATTGGGACGGAGGAATGTCGCAGTTATAAGTTGTGGAGAGAGATTCGAGTGTATTGTCAATGGGGGTTGGGGGTGGTCATTTTCTGTCTGGGTTTCAATGTGATCATCGTTGTCGACAACGAGCAAGAGTTGGGGAGGGTTGCATTTGTGCCTGGGAAAGAATTTTTCTGGGCAGCGGAAACAAAGACCCTCCGCTCGGCGTTTTTTGAAGCGCATCGGGGGAGAGGCGGGTGAAGGGAAGAGTTGGGGTGGTTTTGGGTGGGGACGGTAGGAGTGGCGGAATATTGGCTGCTGTAGGGTTAGAAGGTAGAGGTGGCGTGGAAGAGGTAGCGGTGGGAAGGGACGGGTATTGACAGGGAGTAGCTAGGAAACGGAAGCGGTTGTTGGCTAGCTTCTTTTCGATCAATTTGGCGAGATCGTATGTTTAGATGGAGGGATTGTGAGCGGTGTAGTGGGCATTCAGATTGGATGTCGTTTCGAAGACCAGAGATGAAACAATTAAGGAGGGTCTGTTGTGATAAGTCGACCACGCAATTGCTCACCTTTTCAAATTCGGTTTGATAGGCAGCAACGGTGGTGGTTTGGTGGAGTTTGAAGAGAGTGGCTTGGTGGTTTTGATAGGATGAGGGTCCAAAACGGAGCTCCAATGCACGAGAGAATTCTTGCCAAGTGCCAAGGAGATGGTTTGGAGCTAGGTGTTTGTACCAACTAAGGGCATCACCGGTAAAGTAAAAAATGGCTAGTTGAACACGTGGGTTGATAGGAATGGCGTAGTATGAAAAGTAGTTGTTTGCTTGGAAGATCCAATCCAAAGGGTTGGAACCGTCGAAGTTGGGGAGAAGAATTTTGGGTGGGCGTGGTTGATTATTAGGAGGTGGGTTTGTAGGAGTTAGATCGGGTGGTGGTGGTGGTGGTGGTGTGTTCGATTCAGTTTTTGGCACAGCAATAACAAGATTGGCGGTGGTTTCAGTTTGTTTGGTGATTTGGGAGGAGAGGACTTCATGGATTTTGGCGGTTTGGGCGGCGGAGCTAGTGGTGGCTGTGAGGAGTTGGTCCAGCTTGTCCAACACGGCAGCCATGGTTTCTTCGAGGTTCTGAACGTCTTTGCGGGGAGGCATGGTGAGGACACAATGAAAGCACCAATTGATGTAAGTCGGTTCAAGATGGCTAATCTCCCAAGAAAATAAGACTTAAGAAGAGATTTGGGGCAATTTTCTTCATTTAAAATGACTAACAATTACATGAATTTAAATAACTTGTTTGACCTAAACCTAAGCTAGAATTCAGGAAATAATGGAAAACATGCTTCTAAAAATAAGGAAATCATGCATAAATTAAAGCCACTAAACTAAATGATGCATCTGACTTATTCTCTTTGCCTAACCGTTCTCTAGCTGGGCTCACTCTTGTAATCGTATGAGAACCTTGGAGGTTCGTTTGGGTCTGGCCCAGACAGCAAGTTGTTCTTCCTGTTAGGCTGCGTTCTGGGCTGCGAGGTTTGGGCCCGCAGTAGCAGCAGTAACAAACACCCTATACGCCTAATCCAAGTACCCCTCAGAATGTTTTTCATCCAACCATCCCTCAGTCCCTAGTTCCAAACTTTGAACCATAAAGTGTACATTCAGGCATGCTTGACCTTGAGTAGACTGACACCGATGAATTAATCCCACCAACAATTGAAAACATGAATCAAAATGATTGCGAACATGATTACACACATGTTGGACCTTCTAATTCTGATCGGGCCAAACAACATGAAGATCAATGTAGTCAAAGAACTCGTAAATAGCCCAAGCAAGCACCTTCAACATTATGAGACAGATTTGCCACCTTCTATGGACCATACATAAAACACTTCCAATCCAAGGGCTTCAACGATACACCCCTATCTCACTTTGTTTGTCATGATAAGTTTTCTCCATCTTAGAAAGCTTTCTTAGCAACCATCAATTCTCGTGATGAACCAAAATTCTTCCTTCGGGTTGTTAAGCACCTTGAACGGTGTGAAGCCATGCAAAAAAGAATTCAAGCATTAGAATCCAATGGAACGTGGCAACTAGTGCGCTTACCACCCGGGAACAAAGTCGTTGACTCCAAATGGGTGTATAAGATCATATACAAGCCTAATGGAAAAGTCGGGAATACAAGGCACGATTAGTTGCAAAGGGATTTACTTAAGTCAAAGGTATTGGGTTCCTCGAAATGTTCGTGTCACTATTCGATGCATTTAGTTGTGGCAACCAAGAAAACTTGGGAAGTTCACCAATTAGATGTGAACAACACATTCCTCCATAGTAACTTAGATGAGGACGCCTACATGCGAATTCCTCAAGGTTTTGCAAAAAAAAAAGGCGAGACTCGAGTTTGCAAACTTTTGAAATCCTTATATGGGTTAAAGCAAGCTTCTCAAAATTGGTATCACAAGTTCACCTATGCCTTACTTTATATTGGTTTTCAATAGTCTAAGGCCAATCACTTTATGTTCATTTCGTTGTAGGAATACTTACATTTCCACGTTAATATATGTAGATGATGTTCTCTTGGCAGGAAATGATGGAGTCAAAATTCAATCCAAAAAGTCATATCTTGACAAAAGGTTTAGCATCAAAGATCTTGGCACTTTGAAATACTTCTTAGGTGTTGAGGTAGCTCGTTCACCAAAAGGTTTTGTCTTAAGCCATCGCAAGTATACCCTCGATATTTTGGACTACAAAGTGCTAAGCCTAGCCCTTTTCCATTGGAACAAAATCTCAAATTTGGAAAAAATAATGATAGGGTGGATGTAGACGTAGGCCAATATCGTTAGTTAGTAGGCTGCCTTCTTCATTCAACTGTAATGGGACCTGATGATGTTTTCTCCTTCAATTTGTTTAGCCAATTCCTAGAACGTCCTAAACAATCACACATGGTTGTTGCTATTCGTGTTTTGCGATATTTGTAAGAATGACACTTGGACAAGGTTCTTCTCCACCAAGGGACATCTTCAACTCGAGGCATTTTGTGATGCTAATAGGCTTGGTTGTTCCTTCAAGCGTCGTTCAAGCATGGGTTACTTTCGTCGTTCCGACACGGATTACTTTATTACTCTCGGTAGCTCTCCCGTTTCTTGACTTATGAAGAAGCAATTGTTGGTTTCTCACTCATATGCCGAAGCAAAGTATTGTTCGATGGCCACTACCGTTCGTGAACTCTTATGGCTATGATGGATTTTAAATGATCTTGAAGCTCCTCAACAATGTCCTACACCTCTATTTTTGTGATAATCAAGCTACCCGCCACATTGCCAAGAACCCTGTCTTTGCGAGTGAACCATACACATGGAGATGAATTGTTATTTGTTTGTGACCGAGTTGAAAATCAAGACATTACTACTTGCCAAATTTCGTCCAATCTTCAAGTCGCAGACATTTTCACCAAAGCATTGGATGCTGAACATTTTTGCTTCTTACGTTGTAAGGTGGGTGTTCGTGATCTCCATGCTCCAACTTGAGAGGGAGTATTAGAGCATATTTTGCAATATCCTATTTCTATCTTGAAGATGCACCGGAATCTTTTCAAATCCTTTTATTTTGGATAGATTAGCATCTTGATGACTTTTTCCTTTTTATTTTTTATTTGCCTAATCGTACGACATCTTTATAGTAAATGAAAATGCAGCATTCTTATATCAAAATTTCCACTATTTGTGTGTCACGAGAGCGTTCTCGAATTTGGGAAGAAATGAGAGGGAAAGAATAGAAATATAAAATTATTTGTGATTTTTTAGGGAAGGAAAACGAATGAAAATAATAATCTTTCACGTTTCTTGAGGAGAGAAAAAGAAAGAAAATATATCATTTTTATAATTGTATTTGACAGATAGATGTGTAATTTTATAAATATTTTTAATTGTTATTTCTTTCCTTCTCTTTCCACATTTCAGACGAAAATCAAACATTATTTTTCCTCCTTTATATTTTGTTTCCCTTTGTAAAAATACTCTTCTTCCCTTTCCTCTTGTAAAAAAGGACCCTTAACACTTGAGGCTTGTTTGTAACAATTGCTTTAAACCTCGGTAGCTAGTTTTGTTTCAAGCCCGGAGTCCTAATTAATTGGTGTGGGATTTGTGTCCTGGACATGACAGGATAGGAGAGAACAAAAACATGTCCCAATGTAACCACATTTGACACACTACACTAAACTGGGACCAAAATAAGCAATTTAAAAATGAGAATCATGACACACGATTAAACTAAAACCCTAGATCCTTGCACAATTTTCTTTCACCTATTTACCTCATTCCGTTCAGTTCGAAACATACCCTTACTGAGCGGTCCGAATCCCATGCTGGTTTATGTCCCAGATCCTTTGCCAATCTCTATTTACAGGGAACACCTGGTGAAACAAAATAAATGCAGCATTGAATTATAGTTCAAATTACAAAACTTACAAACTCATGAATTAAATGGGCATCCTAATTTTAGTTTAGCTATCAACCAAACCTTTACTAGGATAATTAATTTAATGTTTACAAAATTTGGTTTCTTAATAATTGTATCTTAATTTGACACAACATAATAAGGGAGAGATACATTTTTGGTTTCTATTGGGATCCGACAGGGATCATCTTCACGGCAGCAGCGATGGGCATGCTTATAAAACCAATCGTCACACTTGCAAACCACTGGGGAAGGCTCAGCGGACTAGTGTTTGCAAAAGTACCCAGGAATTCAATGATGATGATTTGGAATATGACCGTGCAGGTTAGAACAGCCAGAAACACGTAGTTTTTCAGTATTCCTTTAAACACGTCTATCTTCTCCATTTCTCTCGAGCTGATCTCATTGAACACCTGAAATTCAAAACAACAGAAATAAAACATCAACCAACAAGAATATTTTATATTTGAGAAAAACAAACCAACCATATGTGCTGAACCGGTCTATAAAAGCAGAATCCAGACCAGCGGTCAGGCCTGGCCTGAGACAGGTCCAGTACAAAAAAAGTTCGGTCTTGATCTGGGCTTTTGGTAAAATAGAAAAAACAGAAATTAAGGGATGAAAATAATTAAAGAACACACACAAACCTTACCAACCCAGGCTGTATTTGGTCTGATAAAAGACCAGTGTTTATCCGCCCGACTCAGAAAAGACTGGTGGCCAACTATCCCTCAGTCATAAAACTGAAGTTCGTGTTCAAGTTTTGAGAATCTAAGCTTACCCTTCACCCCATATAATGAAACAGTTTATTGTTTGCATTGTCATAAAAAATCCAATGTTTTCTTTTTTAGCAAGTTTTCAATATCTACTTTTATTTGCCATTTGGCAACATTAATTTTGCTCCAGAAGTTTCTTTCACTTGTCTTTTATTGCAAGGCATTTAGATATTTAATCAATAACAAAATACTTTTTATTAATCTATGTATAGGTCGGAAGGGGCAAGGTCTTACTAGTTGGTCATGTTTAGCAACCACAAGTTAGCTCAACAATTAAAAAGCCTCATTTGGTAAGCAAAAAGCTTAGCATTTTGAAATCCTTCATATAGCCTTTTTTATAAGCTTCAGGGGCTTCACTTTTTTCAATTATGACCCTTAATGGTAGAATTGGGTAATTTTTTACCAAGTCGTTTAAGGTCATTTTAAATTGTCATCTAGCTTATCAGCTAGTCTTTACCAAACGCGACTAGCTTATCGGTTAACAGCTAACTTATGAGTCAACAGCTAGCTTATCAGCTAGTTAAAGAAACATACCCTACCATGGGGACAGGGTGGACATCATTCAGGCTAAGCACTTGATAGTTTGTGGTAATAACAAGTCTAGATGTTCAAGTCAGCTACTTCTAATTTGAAACATTGGAGACTAGTAAAAGATGAGAAGAAGCAACTGCGATGTCTATTTAACTAACCTGACAGAAGACAAACGTGTTGAAGATAAGTGTGTTGAGAACCAAATCAGCATCCGAGTTGTCAAGGTAAAAGGCTGCCTTTCCTCTTGTCTGAAGATACCATATTACGACAAACTGATATAATGACTGTCCCGTGATATTCCTCCACATAACATTTGTAATAAAGTTGCCTTTCCTTCCAACCGGAGTTCGCTTCATTAATTCATCAGTAGGAGGTTCAGTTGCTAATGCAAGTGCCCCCAGTGTATCCATTATCATGTTAACCCACAGTAGCTGTACAGCAGTAAGAGGAGCACTTCCTGGAAACATGAATGAGTTAGAAAACAAGGAAGATTGGGCAATCTTCTGTCTAAATCATGTTTAAGAGTCAGTAACAGGATACAGAACATAAGAAAGAAATAGGATCATTGCATGTTTACCTGTTAGACATGCAGAAGAAAAGTTGACAATTAGAGCAACAACATTCACAGTAAGCTGAAACTGAACAAATTTCTGAATGTTCACATAAACTGAGCGACCCCACTTGGCCACAGTCACAATTGTAGAGAAATTATCGTCTAGAATGATCACATCAGCACTCTCTTTGGCCACCTGAATAATTCGAATGCAACAAGTTATAATGATAAACTGTTGGATTTGGTGTAACTGATTTGCTTCATACCCCCTCCATCCCAAAATAAGTGTCTATTGTAGTTTGTCCCAGAATAAGTGTCTATTTTAGTCTGTCCCAGAATAAGTGTTCACCTTCAAAAGTAAGTGTCTACTTTCTGATTATACCCTTGATTATGAGAAGAAGAAATTCATTACTCCCTCTATTATTAAGGATAAATTTGTCATTTACTTGATTAAAAACTATAATAATTACGCAGTGCCTTTTTCGTTGTGGACGTTCATTTTTGGGATGGAGGGAGTATTTTATATGTAGGGACATTGTGTTCTGGGACGAATCATTTCCTACTTTATTAAGATTAACCCATTGTTAAGAAAAGCTTTTTAAGTAAGAATTATATGATTGTAAAAATACTTATAGCAGAAATATATTCGGACAATATGGAAAGAAAGTAAAGATGTACTGAAACTTGGTACATTAAAAACATTGAAGTGTAACAGCGTACAACGTCACCGGACATTAGGCCATGAAATACTTTACCAATTGATTCCTCGAGCTTAATTAATGGGATACCAACCGAAAGGAAGATAGACCATAGATGGGCACTTGAATCAAATAACATGTTCCCTATACTACTCCATAAAACTACAACTATAGGAGCATGTGACATAAGCAAAGGTGAAAACACAACACTACTATATGTATGTACCAAAAGGTATTTCATTTGAGAAGTGTCTCGAAGAACGAAAACATTACCTCTGTCCCTGCTATTCCCATAGCAAGCCCAATATCTGCTTCATGAAGTGCTGGAGCATCATTTGTACCATCTCCTGTTACAGCAACAACCTCCTGAAATGTAGTTCTCAGCTGTTTCACAAGTGTATGCTTATCCATTGGAGAAGATCTAGCCATCACCTTGTAGAATTGAAAGATACAAATATTGGTCATTGCACAAAGTCATCGATTACTCTTAACATTATCCACATGAACAAAAAACGGAAAGATGGAAAAGGAAACATCAGCCTAACATGTACTCATTTTGGCATCTGATATCCTACTTTTTTGTGCCTCTCTTTCCTTTTTCTTTTCAAGCAATACTACTTAGAGGGATATCTAATCCTTGTTTTATATTTAAGTATATACATGCATACATATATATTAATGGATTACATGTTCACCAAGGAAGCCATCCTCATCATAGTTACAGCAATAATCAAGGAGCGTAATTGCAATGTTTAAATTTAGTCAGGAATCACTATAAAAGAAGTAATGACACTAAGGAATGCAGAAGCACCTGAATTTTAGGAATAATTTCATGCAACTCCTCCTCAGTCTTTACACGGAAGTCGGGACCTTCAATGGCTATTCCGTCATCCGTTAATATCCCGCATTCTCTAGCAATTGCCTTGGCAGTATGTATGTTGTCACCTGTAACCATACGCACAGTAATGCCAGCGGATCGACAAATTGCAACAGATTCCTTTACACCAGGACGGACAGGATCCTTGATACCCACAATCCCGATTAAAGTATAGCCCTCAAAGGGAATTGGATCTTTGGCATGGAATTCATTTCCCAATTCCTTGTAGCAAAGGCAAAGAGTTCGAAGAGCTTCATTGGCTAATAGTTCAATGGTATCTTTTAGATGATTGTTTAATTCTACACCAAGAGGAGCAACCTCACCATTCGAGTTCAGGACCTTATCACATGCACCTAAAATTATTTCAGAAGCACCCTTACAGTGGGTCCTAAAAGACCCTCCAGGGAGCTCTAAAACTACTGCCATACGCTTCTTCTCAGAATTAAATGGCTCAACTTTGATCAGCTTTGATTTTTGAAGCTCCACTTGTTTTCCTTTAAGCATGAGACCAAATTCCAAAAGAGCAGTCTCGGTGGGTGTACCAAGAATTTCAGTGGTGTTCTTCTCAGTCTTCACCACCTCTCCCCCGGTATTGTTAAAAATAGATTCAACTAGCATTCCAACAGTAGAGTCAGGAATTGTAGAACAGAAAGCTGAGACCCCTGTAGAGCCATTCACTTCCCTGATTTCTCCACAAATCCAAGCTTTTATAAGTGTCATGTGGTTAGTAGTTAGGGTGCCAGTCTTGTCGCTACAAATATTTGTGGCAGATCCCATGGTTTCGCAAGCTGCCAAATGACGAACAAGAGCTCGATCATTCATCATCTTCTTCATGGCAAATGCAAGGCTTAGTGTCACAGCTAAAGGTAGTCCCTCAGGCACTGCAACCACCACAATTGTAACTGCAATAGCAAAGTATTCCAGCATCTCCAGGGCATCATCTCCAGACCAAGTCCAGTGGGATCCTTCCTGCATCTTGCGTACAAACAGTCCTTGCACCAGAACTGAAAAGGTGATAACAGCAAAAAACAGCCCTATCTTCCCTATAATTGTTGCTACTCCATTCAGTTTAACCTGCAATGGCGTCTCATCATCGCCACCTTCACTAAGAGTTGCCATCAACTTGCCCCATTGGGTTCTCATTCCAACAGTAGTAACAACCATCTTACATGAACCATTCTGAACTTTTGTTCCAGATAAGAGAAAGGGATTCTCAGCAGTTACAGTTTTAGGATCACTCTCTCCTGTTAAACTTGATTCATTTATCAACAAGGAAAAACCAGAAACGAAAAGTCCATCAGCAGGGACCTGATCCCCAACAGCAAGGTGAACAATATCACCGACAAGGAGCTCATATATTGAGATCTTCTGTCTGCAGTCATTTCTAGTAACTTGAATTGTAATTTTCTTTTTCTCTTTATCCAAATCTTTGAACTGTAAAGATTGCCTATAGTCACTTGTGGCAGTGACAAATACCACCAACAGGATGCTTGCAACAATCCCAAGACCATCATGGGCACCCTTTGGCCACCCCTCCATTGTAATGCCTACAATCAAAGACACAAAGGCACACAAACCAAGTATCATCAGGGTTGTATCTTGGAGGGCTTCCCATACGTAAACGAAGAAACCCTTGGATGGGCTCTCAGTGAATTGATTAACTCCATATATATTTTTTCTTTGGTTAAGTAAATCCTCAGAAGTAGAAATTCCATTATTGGTCGATGTGGAGATCTTTTTCACAATGCCCTCAACCCCATCATGAGCTTTCAGCTTCTCCACGCTACGGCCTTCAACTATGGATCCTAATTCATCAGGACCAATTTGAAAGCCTGCAGCTTTCACTTCCTCAGGTATGCTGTAAGTTATACCTGGAAGTATTCAGGTAAAGGTCAACATCGAAACGCCTACAATTGCAAAGAGGAGTTTCAATACACCGTCAAGATGCATACCATTAAGAAATTGAATTGCCGCATGTGAAACCAGCATCAAGGTTCTCAGACTCTCCTACAAGTTTGAATGCATCACAAGAACAGAAATCGCCTCAAGTCAGGGTAACAGTTTGGATTGCACAACAGAAAAGACATTAAATACATCCTTGGAAAAGCTACGTATGCTGATTTAGGTATTGCAATTTTAATTTTTGGGGGTGACAATATTCCTATAAAGGATCAATCATCAATATCCAGTAATAATGTTATTTGTTTCCATCTTTGGCTTTAGAAGTTAAATTAGAATGCTCAAAACATGTATAATCAACTACTTGTTAATTCAGCAAATAGCAGCATCGAACAACTTGTTGGCCATCACCATGAAATGACGCTAAAGTCATACTTTTGTTAGTAATCACCAAACATGCTTTGATTTATTTCCAGTCATAAATAATTTCTATATTAGCAGGAACCTTGTTATATACCCATATCTCCACAGCAACATAGCATGGATAACATCGAGCTGAATTAAATATGATGGCAGCCATGAGGGGCTTGTGCTCCTCAGATCTCAAACTTGATCATATGTCTATGTTATCAGTATTTTCAGAATAAAATTGGTCAGGTGATATAGAAAACAGCCATTATCTTCAAAAAAGAGGAAATATAAAAAAGCAGCTAAATGCAACCGTTCAGCCCTTCTATGAAACAAGCATTATGTAAAGATTTTTGTAAAAGATACAGCAACCACATCCAAGGGGATAAATTTTTTGCCTCCCGTCCAACTGACGCATCTACGGTGATTCATTGGGAAGTACACAAATAACTCGAGACATCTAGGTAACTCTAAGCAAGTCTCAAATCACTTGGGCAAGAGCATGCTCAATTGTATACATATGTAGTTTCAAAAATAGATTAAACCTCTCTGTTTGACAAAATAATTCAACCAGCTTAAATAGACATCTCAAGTCAGGAAAGCTCAGTTCACCTATATCAAGTTTGCAACATTAGCTGTTGCAACCTGATGTTACAGAAAACCTAAGATATCATGCCTCCTGGTTTCAATCTTTATTCCACACATTAATTACAAGTTATAAGTTAGTACTTACTACTTACAAGCAGCATTTTCTTGAACAAAACTCCTTGTTTGAGGCCTGTGTCAGTTTAACCCTTATTAGAGCTAGAGTAATTCACTATCTCATAGATGTCTCTAATATGAAGTTGTTCAACTAAAAGAAGGCATCTCCTTAAAACCGTGGTAGTAGAGAATTGTCCCACTTGATCATCATAAAAGAGAGCTCTATCCAACGCTACACAGTTCGCTCAGTCATGATCTTTTTCCATTGCCAGAGTATCTAGAGCTTTCGTTTGTGTGTCAAGAAATCGACAAATCGTGATGTGACTCCTGATGCTCAAAACCTGACCTTCGGAGATGAGAAGCCCAGTCAACTCAAAGTAATCAACCACACTACTATTACTGTAGTTCACTAGATTCACTTTGAACTCAACACAAGAAGCAAAATAATAAAAGAACAAACATAGTTCACTTCACGAAATAATGAAACATATTGAAAAAAAGAAAGAGCATTGACCAGATTAGATCGTTGAATAGCGCGAGCTTCGAATCGCTTGGAGAGATTAGCAGTGAACCGAAAACGCCGTTTCCGATTTTTCACCACCCAACACAGCTTCCTCCATCTCTGCAACGCTTCCTCCGATGAGTTCTTGGGCTTCACCTCAAAATTATCATTCAAATAGCTCTCCATCGCTACTGATTCAAAACAACAAATGCTTGGGTTTTTTTTTCAGAATGACATGAATTGGAAAAGCAAAACACAACTGAAGATCTTTTGCCACTTCACTTGTACTGTAGGACCTACAATATGGATCTGACTTTATTCCGATTTGGTGATCGTCGATTAGGCAGATCGTTGTTTGCAAAATGGAACGAAAATAGGAAGTTATGATACGATGATATTTTGAAAATGGAGGAGGGAGAGTTGACCTTCTTTTTCTGTTAGGTTAGAAACAAACACAAACCTCCACTAAACTTTTAACCTAAACCCGAGGTTTCCGATTATCCGGAAGGCGTGGTGGGCCACGTCAGTTGACCGGAATTGGAACATGGGAACTATCTTCACCCTTCAAAATGTGTAAATGTTTTTTGTACTAAAAATTATTTAAAAATGTTGTAAATATTATAAGTGTTTTTTTAGGGGCAGTCTACCAAACGTTTACTCGGGTAAGTAAATTAAGTTACATTATTTTATCAGATGAATATGGTAAGCACCAAAAATCTTACCTGGTAAGAACGAGACAAAGAATCTTACCCAGTAAGTGAGGACGACGATTTTTACCATGGTAAGCGCTTACCAGGTAAATTGTTGCGTAATATACCATTTTGGTGACTAAAATCTTACCTGATAAGTAAATGATAGTGTTAAATTTACCCGTAATCATTTACTAGGTAAGTGCTTGATAAACGACCCCTTAATCTATTTAAAATAATTATTAAATGACATGATAATTACATTAAACTTTAATATTGTGTTTTCAAAAGAAAAAGAAAAGAAGGGAAAAGGAAGGAAAATAGGAATTTCTCTCAAAACTTTCCTCCCAAACATGGGAGGAAAGAAAAACATTTATAACAATTAAAAATATTTATAAAATTACACATTTATTCATCAATTACATTCCACTACAAAATGAATAAGGGTATATTTGTAAAAATGATATATTTCTTTTTTTTCTCTCTCCCGTTCAAGAACATGAAATTTTATTTTATTTACTTTTTTCCTTTTGCTTCGCTCTCAAAAACACTGATAAAAAAAAATTCTTTCTTTTCTTTTCTTTTTTTATTTCCTTCTAAAACTTGAGAGCAGAACGTGAACTTTAGGAGCAAAATCATTACAAATATGTGATTTATGATAGCAAGTATCCATATCATCTACGTATGTAGTGGGCCTTTCTTTAAAAAAAATTGTAATTCATGAAATTCCGTAAAATCTAATTTAAACAATAATCTTCAAAAAAATATTTTTTTTCTCATTCACTTACAAAATCTTCAACTTCAATACACTCTCACTTTTTTATCATTAATTGATGATCTAATCCAAGTTAAAATTTTATTTTGTAAAAATTATTGTACTTAATTGTCTATCATATATTATTCTTATTTTTTTAATTTTAAATATAAAAATTGATTAAACACATTATTGTATATTTTAAATGTAATCATCATAATAATAAAAAATTATCATACAATTAAAAATGGTATGATGAAAATATATCAATATTTGATTTTGTTTGTAAAGACTTTAAAAAATATTAATTTTGGTGGATTTTTAAATTTCTAAATTTTTATTAAAGACAATTTTTAGTCAAATAGGATTTGTTCTAAAACAATTAAAACTCAACCAATGGCATGATGTTGTATGCGGATTGCGGGGTGAGTTAGATCGATTGAGATTGCCATATTAAATTTATTTTTATTTTTTGTCTTATTCATAACTAGATTGTGAGAATTATGGTTAAATTTTAGAGTTTTTAAATGATGTCTCGTGTATATAATATATACTTGTATTGAGTAATGTTCATACGAGAACAATAACCAAATAAGATAATACGAAAAAGTCGAATCACGTGTAATTTTACACTAAAATCACGTGTAAAGTCACACATGATTAGCACGACTTTTGCGTCACTCACCCTTGCTTTGACCGTGTTCTGTACTCACATGTAAAACCACATGTGATTTGGTTGTTTATTATTGTTCTCTTATTTTGACTATTTTCTCGTTTGATTCTCCCTCTACATACATACATACATACATATATGTGTGTATATATATACACACACAATTTTTTAACTAATACTTAATAAGTCAATGACATTGAACAATTTAAATTATGTTATATATTTAAAACTATTAGATAAAACACTAAAAATGTATAAAAAAAAGATCAAATAATATCTTATAAAAATCGTGCATCGAGATATGGAGTGCCACGAGGCTAATGTGGCATCGGTGACAAGTCTTGAGTCATGGCATGCCAATGTTGCCCGCATGACATGCCTTCTAGATTATTGGTCACAATCAAGCAAAAGTGTTAAATATTGGCTTCCCTAAACGTCATCCCTAGTCCTTTACTTCATTACCTCCACCACAGTTTTGTTCAAACCCTCTTCTTTACAATCAAGTTGTGCAACTCTTAACTTTTGTGTTCAATTGGGTTTTTGGTAGGCTTAGAGACAATTTGGAGATCAATAAGGCCATGACTTTACTCCCTAGTGGTTAATAGTTCGAGTTACCTCAAGTCCACTAAAGTTTTGTCTAGTTAACTTCATAGTTAGCCAAAAAAAAACATATTCAGTTGTTTTATCGATCTCAATTTGGACTCTTTCATCTATAGTCAACAATATTAAAGTATTTGAGTTAGCATCTTGCCTCCCGGCATTCATACTTTATTTTGAATCTTGTTGAGATCTTATTTTAACATAATATCAATTTTCATAAAGACAGAAAAGAGGCACACAACAACCATGTAACATTGGTCGACATAACGTTGTTTCAATTATGTATAGGGGAAATCTTGTTTAGTTAACAATCTGGTCAAATAGTCCAAAAAAGATCAATTTCCGTCTAAAAGTTTGAATTGATTAAAGACCAACGATCTAATCTACTCCACTCTGATGACGTTGTGGCTTGGTCAAGACCGAGACTGAAAGGCATAATCTTTTTATCCATATCTAAATGCAGGTGTGTCCTAGAGGCTATAGGAATGTGTCCAAGGTACAATTTGACGCAGGTAGCATTGTGCCCAATATACAATTTTTAGGTATTGTTTGACAAACATAAGCTAGTTTATAAAATAACTTATAAGCTAGCTTATTTTTTTGAGTTGTTGCTTGGATGCATATAAATTAACTTATATGTTAGTTTATAAATTAGCTTATTGATAAGCTAATTGGAGTAGCTTATGAGGAGGTTTTTGACATTTTTTTCAATTATAACTCTGATCAATATTAATTATTAATTATAAATAAATATTAATTATTCATAAATATCAATTTATGGTAACTAAATCAATTAAAAATTATTAATTAGTTTT